CAGCCTGGTGACAAATAGAAATCCCTGTAAATCACGACATCCTTATCCATGCTGGTACTCGAGTACTCGTAACAAATGGCGATGAAGCTAACACTTTCTACTCGCCAAATCCGGAAGTCTGTCCCCGTGGCATAGCCACCACTGGCTGCACGGCAATTACCGGTGCCCTCATCTGGCCTTGATGACAGGAGGGTTATGTCAACACCGTATCTGCTCGTAAGTAAGATATCCCTGAAGGCTAGCGTCTCTGATGGTGCTGAGAGGCTATGAGAAGTACAAGTAAGTGCGGTTCTTTCAAGAGGGGTGTTTTGGGACTTTTTCTCATCTGTCACCCCCTGTGCCCTGATGAGTTGAAAGATCGTCAAGAATGAGAGGTGAGTCACCCTGGCCCGAGCGGTATCATACCCCGGATAATAGGAGGATTACAACGATTGGATACGGAGGTGGGTTTCAATCCATTCCTCGATATGATCGAAAGTAGATGAAGGAATGAAAAAGAGGTCCGAGGGGGGTGGGGGTGGGGAGACAAGCCAGAGGCTCGCTCTCCGTTTGGGTGTTTCCTCTCTCCTCTCCCCCCTCTCCCAACAGGTTGGAGAAGCTCCTTAAACACGAGGATGGAATTAATACAAAAAATAGTATCACGCGACATGAATACGAATGTCCGCGCACCTCACCATGAGCCTGTTCGTATGTCTCGCGGCGGGGTGGAGGGGTGGTTTGTGTGTGGGTGAAAACAGGGAAATGTAGATATTGAATACCGTACTTTGGAAACAGCTTCCTGATATCTTGTGTGGGAGGGGACCCCGGCAAATGAATGATCTAGGGAGGGAGCGGGGACATTTTCTGCCTTTTTCTTTTGTTCCCAGGAACAAATTTAGGCTTTACGTGTAGAGTTCGAAGGAATTTGGACTTCTTTTCCGGGATTTTTCTCGGAATGGAGTGAAGTTAAGGTTAGGGTTATGTCCTGCCTCGCCTGGAGATGTCACTCATTCTTTTGGCGCCTACCGGTATGTCACCATCTAAGGCAGAGATGACTAAGGCACTCCCTCAGTATTCTTCAGTGGTGATGAGCGTAGGTATGATCATACTGGGAGCATAGGTAACGGTCTAGGTTTTGCACGTCTACGAATTTGTAGTACCTAGCAAAAGTTGCTTATTAACTTATATCTCAAACCACAAATAGTGTGGCAAGAAATTTTCAAGAGTTTCAGCAGTCCGGGAGATACTGTACGAGTATTGTCGCTAGCTTCTTTGTGCTGGGCAGTCTATGGTATTCGCTGGAGGCCCACGACGGTTGTACCGTAGTAGAGATTTTCTCTTCATGGACTTTTTCCTTGCACATACTCCGTACTCGTACGGTACTCGAGTAGTCATAAACCACCACTAGCGAGTTCAGGGACTGTTCTTCCCGTGAGGGTTCAGCGGAGGCAGTGCGACGCCGGGAGAGTTCACAAGGGAGTTAGCTGAAATTTTTTTCCTGGTGGACTGGTAGCCTGATAGCGGGGGTGTCTACGTGTACCTTGACTCTGCACTAGCGCTCGGGTACCAAAGGCAGCATGCGCGGGGGTATGATACCGGTAGGCTACAGTCACTTCTAGGGATCTTTTTTGCACTGCCTCCTTTTTAGCCGGTCGTTCAGTACCGTACTCGAGTACTCGTACTTTGTCAGGGATCTGCAATCCTGGGGGGTAGAGGAGGTATATTCTATTGGCTGTGCTGCGATTGTTTTCCCCCACTGCCCAGAAATAACTTTAAAAACTCACGATGCACCAGCAGGGATAACATGTACGAGTACAAGTACGAGCACTCCAGTATTTGCACCGTGAACTAGCGCCCAAAAGAGGTATAGATCAGAACAACTGGTTTTGAGCCCCATTCTGACAAGCAAACATTTGCATCGTATTCGGGAGACCGTGCTGAGTTTGGGCGGACTGGAGACAATATACCAGCGTAGGCTGAGTAACACTCTCTAAAATGGTACGCATGCTGGTATGATACTCGAGTATCCTGCGTCTAAGACCACGCACCAAGTGTTTGGCTGGATAGCAGGTTTTTCGAGTTTTTTTATATTTTTTCTGGGTAGTGCGTATTCAATCACTTATAACAGCCGGATGGTGAGAGCCTCACTGGGTTGAACAACAGGGCGTACCGGATTTCTTCCCCTGTCGTGCTCGTAGTCGATGGTATTTCTTACCATAAAGGATGAAAAAAAGACTAGCCCCAGAGGCTGAGCTGCACAGGGGGAGTAGCGAGGCGCCGCTGTAATTTCTTGGTTATTTTTCCCCCTTTTTCTGTGTGAGTTCGGAGCCCTCCCTATAGCTGTATAAGAACTTAAGGTTAACTTATTCTGTAGATTGAGATGCGTGGGCAGTAGTGTTGAGGGCGATGGAGAGATAGATTCTGAATTTAGTTTTTTTTTTTTTTTGCTTTTTTGCCCATATAGTGTATTTTCAATCCAGTTATCATAGCGTGTTTTTGTGGATTTTCTGAAGCCCTCCAGGCCTTCGAGGCGGGGGGGTTCGTGAATTCGAGCTCCAAAGCCTTCCGTGAGGATTTTTATCATCAATCCTTGCTTCGACCCGACAGTGAGGAGATACTCATCTAGCCCCACGGCACAGTAGTTGAGCCAATTATTCTTCTAAATGAGATGTGCTTAGGGTACTCGTATACTAGGCAGGGAGTCAAACTCTTGAGCATGGGCTGTTAGGCGAATCAAATTTTTTAGGTGGTAGGGGGGTGCCTTGAGAATCATGAACCGGGAAGGGCTAAGCATGTCCAAAAGGGAAGAAGCAAGCGTGAGTGGCCTCAGCCACTTATATGTCGCCGAGTGCACATACGCTCGAGCAGTGCAGGATATTGAAAGGGCCAGAGCGCGTTGGTGATCCGAGCTTTCATACGCCTTCCAGCCTGGCCTCGTTCTTACTTTAGAAAAATTAGGCGAGTCGAATGTCGTGCACTACCGGTACTTAACTCAACACCTCCACTACCGGTAGTACATTTACTCGAGCTGTTCGTACCACATCACGAACAAACCCACGCCGAACTCTCTACTTTTTTCAAAGACCCTGAATTTACCTGCAAGAGAATTAAAGAAGAGGTGGAGAAATAGTTAAGCAGCAGAAGCAGCTGCACGGAAGAAAGGAATACCCGGTAGCAAGAGAGGTAAGCTACAAGGAACTATGCTAGACAAACAACTCTCTAATTTTGCGCGCTCCTTGTTAGAATTTTGAACCATCAGGGCCTTAAGGAGAAATATCGGGCGACAACCGCCGGAGGTAGGGGCAGCATTCAACTGTGCAGCTCCCTACCCTGCAGAGACCCGGAGTCAAGTATACTTGAATGCAACAGAGTATTGGGAAGCCTAAGTACTTTGCCGGGTACCATAGGTATTGAAAAAATCTAGTCCCTGTCCTAGCTTATGCTGACTTAGGTATGCTTGATTATTAGATTCCCATCCGTGCAAGAGCTCCTCTTCCGCCTCTGTATATATCGGCCCGCGCCATTAGATCACACACCAGATACCATAGCAATAGGGTGTTAGACAGCACTAGAACTAGCAAAAAGCCTGGGGGAATATTCAATGTCCCACCTGTGAATTCCGGTATAATATGGCACGATTACCGGGTGCTAGAGGTGTGTGGGGTTCTGGGGGTGGGACGTTCGGTCAAGATCTAGGAGTCACTGGGCGGCAGGAGGGTCTGCTTGACATGATGGAAAGGGGCGATGCTCTATTTTCTCGATATAAGCAAACGGGTGACATGATCTTCCTGAATGAGGCAATAGTTCATGCTGAACGCGCTATTCCAGAGATAGCCCCCTTCTGCCCTAATCGAGTTATGTTCTTAGCTAAGTTGAGGAAAATGTTTGAAAGTAAATTTGAGCATACCGGAGATGTAGTAGATCTCGACATGGCATGGGTCTGGGGGATGGAAGAGATGGACGAAATACCACGGAACATGATTACCTATGCAGACTCATGCAGCAGCATTCTCAGCATACGGCGTCAGGTGGAGAGGGCGCGCCTTCGGCCCAGGTTACCAGGTCTGGAGTCGCTGAGAAGATATAGGCGGCTGGGTAACGTGGCCGACCTGAACGAAGCAATCGTTCAGATGGAAAAGGCAGTCGAAGAATGCGCTCCGGGCAACCCGGCTCGGATGGATATGCTGAATAACTGGAGTGTCATGTTGGGAACAAGATTTGAGCAGCTGGGTGATATAACTGATTTGGAGTTGGCGGAAGCCATAAATCGGGAAGTTATGAGAGAGACTTGCTCTGGCGACCTGATACATATAAACGCACTTGGGAACCTGGGAAGAATATTCTTGGGAAAGTTTGAGCATATGGGAGACCTTGGAGACCTCGAAAACGCCATCAAGCATAGCGAGGATGCGTTAGCTGCTGCCCCCCTGGATCACCCCGATCGAGCGAGCAGACATCATAACTTGGCACTCAGTTTCTCTGCGAGGTTTGGGCGAGTCGGAGACCCTGGTGATCTTCATAAGGCGATTCGGCATGGTGAAGAGGCACTAGCTTCTGCCCTCCATGATCATCCCGATCGAGCAAGTATATACAGTAGTCTGGGATTTCATTTCTCTACGAGATTTGAGTTAATGGGCGACCTTGGTGACCTCCGAAGCGCCATTAAGCACAGCGAAGCGGTGCTAACTGTTACTCCTCAATACCACCCCAATCGAGCGACTATTCACGACAACCTGGGGATTAGGTTCTCTACGAGGTTTGACCTGGTGGGAGACCTCGATGATCTCGAAAAAGCGATTAGGCACAGCGAAGAGGCACTAGCTGCTACCCCCCCAAATCATCCCGATCGAGCGAGCAGACACGGCAATTTGGGAAATAGGTTCTCTAGGAGGTTTAACCGGATAGGAGGACTTGATGACCTCGAAAAAGCGATTAGGCACAGCGAAGAGGCACTAGCTGCTACCGCCCCAGGCCACCCAGATCGAGCGGCAAGGGACAGTAACCTAGGAGCAATGCTCTCTATGAGGTTTGAGCGGGTAGGGAACCTTGGTGACCTCCGGGACGCCATTAAGCATAGTGAGGAGGCACTAGCTGCTACTCCTGAAAGTCACCACGATCGAGCGGGTAGACATAGTAACCTGGGAGCTATGCTCTATGTGAGGTTTAGGCGGGTAGGAGACTTGTGTGACCTGGATAGTGCCATAAAGCACATCGAAGAAGGACTAGCTGCTACCTCTCAAGGTCATGCCGATCGAGCGACGATGCACAATAACCTGGGAACAATGCTCTCTGCGAGGTTTAGGCGGATAGGGGACGTTAGTGACCTCCAAAACGCTATTACGCACAGCGAGGAGGCACTGGCTGCTACTCCTCAAGATCACCCGGATCGAGCGCGCAGGCACGGTGACCTTGGGAACAGGTTCTCTACGAGGTTTGAGCGGATAGGGGACTTTGGTGATCTCCGAAGGGCTATCAACCACGGCGAAGAATCGCTGGCTATTACCCCTCAAGATCACCCTGATCGGGCTTGCAGGCACAATAACTTGGGAAACTGTTTCTCCATGAGGTTTGGGCGGGTTGGGGACTTTGTTGACCTTCAAAAAGCAATTAAGCACATCGAGGAGGCGCTAGCCGCTACCCCTCAAGATCACCCCGATCGGGCGGTAAGGCACAGCAACCTTGGAGCAATGCTCTCTATGAGATTTGAGCGGTTAGGGGAACTTGGTGACCTCCAAGACTCCATTAAGCACAGTGAGGAGGCACTAGCTGCTACCCCTCAAGACCACCACGATCGAGCGGGTAGACACAGTAACATGGGGGCCATTCTCTCCGCGAGGTTTAGGAGGATAGGATGTCTTGACGACCTCCAAAGTGCCATTAAGCACATCGAAGCAGCATTAGCCGCTACCCCCCGAGATCATCCCGACCGAGCTGGTAGGCACAATAACCTGGGAGGCATGTTATCAACGAGGTTTGGTAGGATAGGAGACCTTCGAGACCTCCAAGATGCGATTAAACACGGCGAAGACGCACTTGCCGCGACCCCCGAAGATCACCCCGATCGAGCGCGCAGACATAGCGACCTAGGAATCAGGTTCTCTATAAGGTTTGAACGGATAGGAGACCTTGTTGACCTCCAGAAGGCTATTAGTCATAGTGAAGAGGCGCTGGCTGCTACCCCTCAAGATCATCCTGATCGAGCGGGTAGGCACAACAACTTGGGAAACAGTTTCTCC